TCAAATAGGAAAATCGGATAACCCTATACAGGCACCTCGATCCTCGAATTAGCTACCTTATCTTCGTGCTCTGGCATAATCCATTACGAGGCTGACCCTCGACCCAATTTCGTGGTCTCGATCAAATAGCAAAATCGGGTAAGTCAGGTTTTAATCGTATACAATGTTCAATCATTTATCCAAGAATATTTATGATCAATTTTTATATGGTAGGATTATGATGCGATCGATATGGAGTTAAAGATAACCACTAATTGTGAAAGTTATTTTTGTCACTAACATATATTGGACGTTTTGTGTATATGTTTCATTCACGGAATGAAATGAGATAAAAAATATTGGAACGTGCGGATGATCAAATCGTTACTTCATTTATCTCAATATAAACGACTTTTTTAATCTTAAAATATACATTATGTCAGCAATACATATTCATTTAAAGAGATTAATATGTCATTAACCTTAAATTATTACAGTATAACATTCCCTATTTTACCTCAACATGTATTCACTTTTTTCAATACAAACATGTATGTGAATATAATATGTTTGGCACTATATATAACCTCTTAACCTTAAAATCGAGTATAAATTCTGAGTCTTTATCTAAATATTTTTTAAATTTGTAATAAGTTTATGTTACCTTTTTTTAAAGTTTCACCCGGCGTTAACAGATACAAAGAGTAAAGTATTTCCTTAAGGAGGAGCGGATCATCCATCCATCCAATTCATGCATCATACAAATTATTCGGTGCAACAAGATTCAAGTTGTCATTAATTAAACAAATGAAAATTGTGTCATTAACTTTTTGGTAGAGTTTCTGAATTTGCTCGTGCATCTTGGATGAAATAATTTAATTCTAAAACAAAACCTGGACACTAAAAATTTAGAAAGATATATTTTAAACAGTAACGTTTTCATGATCAACAGAGTGAAGAGCAATTAAAAGATCATAATTAGGTCAATATTTCCTTGCGTTTAAACTCGTTTTAGTACATTAGAGATTTTACACAAATAATTGACCAAGAGTTTCTACATACATCGATTTGTTCTAAAAATATTGGCAACACAAGTAACACTCAATAAAATTAAAAAGGGCTAATAAAGCATCTGTTGTTATTTTCCAAGTCATACAACAAAATCAATAATTTAGTCGAGCATTATAGCAGTAATTTCATGTGATTAAATAGTAGTAACTGAAGAGTCTTGGGAAAGGCAAGCTCAGCTCAGCTCAGCTCAGCTACCCCAGCTGAAAGTAAACTGAGCCACATAGCCGTAAACAAGAATAGTAAAAACTGTTGACCGTCCATTAATTGAGTCCAAAAGAAGACGAGCCGCCAACGAAAGCGAAGACCATTTCTCCAATTTGTTTCTCTATCCTTCAAAACTTCGTTTTCGCTGACTGTCGAATTCTAATCATTAGTTTCTTCCAGCCTCCGCGTCATCAAAAGATAAAAAGATTCCCCCATAGCTATCCCCACCGGGTGCATCCGTGCATGCTCTCCTCCAATAAATATATACTCCGTTTTGATTATTTATGTGTCATCATTTAACTAAACATTACGCTAAGAATGTAAAATTATTTTTGAATTCTCATTTGGTGTCCTATACATTTTGAATCTTGGGTAATTCGAATTGCATCGTATAATATAAATTATAAGGGGAGTGTTTCGATCAATTTTTTTTTTTTAATTTGCATGATTCAAATATGAAATATCTAATCAACGGAGGATAGAGTTTTAAATAATATACTAAAAATATCATATGAATCTAGTAATTTAACATATCACGTTAAGCGAGTGCCATAAATGTAAACCGAGAATGTTAGAATTAAAACATACTTCCTCCGGTCTAAAATAAGTGATTTTTTAGCTGTTTTCACCCATATTATTAAGAAATCTACTTTTTAACATTAATTAGCAATAAAATTGACCATATTAACCTTTACTATCTCTTCACATAAATACTATAAAACATACTACAACACTATTTACTCCAAGGACAATGTAAGAAAAAAATAATTAATTTATTTTTGAAATCTGAAAAAATTACTTATTTTGGATCGGAAGTAAGTACTAAATTCAGTTCTTGAGATAGAAAATGTTCATCTCCTTGACGGAGTTGATCACAAGGGAACGAGAAACCAGCAGGAAGAGCCAGGTAATATCCTTCTGGCAATTCTTGAGAAAACAAAGCAAATTGCATGACACCTCAGCATCGTGCCACGTGTTTCCCCCCTCTCGTCATTGGTCCACGTTTCACATGAACCACTCCACGTTTCGCTTGCTAATGAGAAACCTACGCCCATATTAGACAACTCCTATTTGCCGTTTCTGAATATTCTAATCAAATGACTTATTCACCCCTCACCCAACGCTTCTAACAAGGATTGAACAGGGACAAAGATATCTTTTGAGTTGGACCATGTATATAACTAACAGAAACTTAGTTTAAACTGACCTGCGAATATGGGTCTTTGATTTCACGGCCAAACACAGATGAATTTCTACCCTCTATACAGTATAATTGGAATGCTTTATTATAGTCCACAAACTTCTTTCATATACCGTAGCACTGAGGATTATTTTTTCTCCCACTTCTTCCTTCTTTCCCTCCTTTGACCGCAAGTGAAAGCGAAACTCTTCAGTAACACCGTCAATCTTAATTCTATAATTGCCCTTTTCCTTTTCAAGTTCCAAAATCACCCTTGAAAAAAGAAGATGTCAGAAAACATATAGTACTCATAATTATTTCTCCCTCTCCGCAATAATCAATTTACTTTGGACACACCCATCAAAAAAATTTTAAATTCTATACGAAAATAATTAGTGTGATTAAACTACCCTTCACTAAATATTGCACCATTATTATAATAGCACTTACTTCTCTTCTCAGTGTAAGGAGTAAATAACTTTTTAGGAATACGTATATAAGGGTAATTTTAGAAAAATAAAATGAATTTTTTTTGATTATATAATTAGACATTTATTTTGGACCAAAATAAAAAAATAAATTGATCACTTATTATGGACCGAAGAGAGTATATTATTTTTATTTTTTACCCGCTATTTTTTACGCGTATTTGATTAATTTAAATTTGTGAAGCATAAGACCTATAAAAGAAAAAGTGCTCCATAATATTTTTTTATTACCGGTGTTCAAAGTTAAAATTCTAATTAAGAGTGAATAGATTTTGTCCCTCCAATCATAACCCTTGATGGTAAAATCTTAGGGCGATTGTATCATTCAACTTTTATTAGATTTAGTATCACTTATTCAGTTTATTTAGTTTTTGTCCTCTTTTTTTAATATAAAAAACGGCAAAAAATACTCCCAACTATGAGAAATTGAGCAAATTTACCTTTATTTTGAATTTGGTTTCAAATATGCTCTTATCATTAATGGGTTCAAATTTACTCTCAACTATGAGAAACGGAATAAATTTTCTCCTTTTGACTTTAGTCCCAAATATGCCTTATTATGAGTGGATTGTCTCATATTTGCCCCTCAAAACTAACAAAATTAATTTATTTTATCAACCCTTTTATTTTAGTATTAAAATTTTAGTTGACTACTATTTCTAAAACAAAAAAGAAGAAGAACATAAAGAAAAGAAAAAGGACATGTAATTTTTTTTTTTTTAAAAAATACACATTAAAAGCAGAGATTCATAAAATTATTTATCTTACTCGGATAGCTTATAGTAATTCTTATCTCTTTCAGTTTATGTTTGTTGACCATCAATACTTTTTTATCTATGCAATTACAATTATATACATAAATTTAGCTCAAAGAAATAAACTTAATATTTTATGAAGTTTTTTTTCCTGCCATGGCAACAAAAGCAAATTCTCTGTTTACTTTCAAATATTTTTCACTAATTTAAGAATTTCAGTTTATATTCGGGTTTTTGAAGATTGTTTATTTTTCCATGAAAAAATATTTAATTTTCTAAAATTGTTGTTATGATTAATTATTGTTACATTTAGGAGAGTACTTTAAAAAAAAAAGGAGAAATACATGAAAATGATGACCAATTAGATGTACGTATGTCAATTCTTTTAACCATCTTGGATCTGTATAATTTTCTAGTTACTATTCTTACAAGAAAAAATTTGGAGTTAAGATTATTATCTTATAATATGGTACTCTATTTTGATAATAAAATATGTTTTAATGCGTAAAAATAAGAAGTTGAAAGTCCATTAATTTTGAAGGGCAAATATGAGGCAGCTCATTAATGATAAGGGTATATTTGAGATTACAGTCAACCAGAGGATAAATTTATTCTATTTCCCTAGTTGAGGAATAAATCTGAACCAATCCACTAAAGATAAGGTCATGTCTGAAACTAAATTCAAAATAAGGGCAAATTTGCTATATTTCTCATAGTCGAGAGGCATTTTTGGGTCTTTTTCCCGAATATAATCCTAGGAAGCAAATGTAATATTTTTTTAATTATAATTTTAATTGAATAACTTTTTAACTATATCATTTAGACATGTTACAACCCAAACAAAGAAGTCCCACGTGATATTCGAAGAGATTAAAATCAAAACGAAGTAATTTTTTTTGTCAACAAATCGAAGTAATTAAGTTCAATGTCGTATACCTATAAGTTTAGAAAAGAATCGAGATAAAGCTCAAACCATCCTAAGAAAAGTTTTGAAAAAAAAATACACATCCCTAGTCATTGTGTATATCGCAATAGGGGTATTATTGGGAAAGCACTTGTCCGTGACTGCTCAAAACGGGCGTTTGAAGGACGGTTGGCGTTTGGTTGAACCAACCTAACAACTACCACTTTCCTTCACACTTCTTAGCTTTTACCAAATAAACGAGTAATTAAAAAAAGGCAGCCTTATTATTCATTTAATATTATTATTATTATTAGTTTCCATCTTTAGATAAAATAATAATCTCAAAAGAAAAAATAAAAAGCAATCGAATTTCCATCATTTGCCCTATATATAAAACTATAAATTTTCCTCTCCTTTCTCTTTTTCGGTTTTCTAAAAGCCAATACTTCTGGATTTCCCCATCTACTGTTCCCCTCTCTCGCCCCTTCTCTCTCTTCCCTTGTTCTCTCTTTCTACCTACCGGAAAACCTCTTCCACCGCCCGGGAAACCGCTTTTCCGTTTGCCGGTGAACAGAGTCGCCGGAGAATTCACACGCACTCACTCTACATGTTTCGTTCGCTTTGATTAATGCTTCTCGTTTTTTGCGTGTAACTCAGTCATTCGGTTGGTGGAATTGCTCTGATCTCTGAGTTTGACTCGTTCCATGCAGTGCTAAGGGAATGTGGCGAGTCTAAGTCTGTTTTTCTGGTTCCTTGTGCCCTAGATCCTGATCTAGGGCTTGACTGACGCTTGTGTTGTTGTTTGTTAGTAGTTTTTTTGGTTTTGTTTTTGTCTGTGAAGAGTGGAAAGACGACGAAGAATAGAGAAAAGCGTCGTAATGAGATGGTATGTTATTATCAGTTGGATGTATTGTGTATTTCTTTGTAAAGTTTTGAGTTGTGAATGTTATTCTTTTTGTTCCTTTGGAAGTTTGGATCTCTCAAGTATTCTTAGGATTGTAGTGAAAATTGAAGGGTTTTTTCCTCTTTTTTTTGCATTATCTTTTCTCAGCGATTTCATATGCTTAATCTGAACTAATTGCACATATTGAAATGAACATTTGTTCCTGTTATTTTCTTAGAGAAAATCGAATGAACATAATTCTTAATGGAAATTTTGAGCTGATTTTTTTCCAGTATTCATAGTTGAATTTTGATACTATCACCGATTTTCTCCCTATTTCTGATGAAAAACTCTCAAAATCCATCTCTGTACTGTAGTAATTGTTTCCTTATTGTTTCAGATCTTACAAGTTACATTTTGGGCGGTTTATTAGCGGTATCTGTTTATGGATTGGCTCAATTTTTTCAAATACATAGTCTGGTTTTGGTAGTTATTCTTTCTTCGTCTTTTATCCCCTTTTGTCGGGCAGAAAAAAAATGTTGAAGAAAATTATAATTTCTGATTATTTACGCTCTTGGAACTTATGATTTGGTTCCAATTTTGTTAGAGTCGTCAAATTTTGAGATGCATCAAATTTTGATAAAATTTCTGCTTTCTGTGTTCACACCTTTTGTTTATATTTTTTTTTGGGGTGGGGAAGTTGTGTTCACACCTTTAAAAACTTTTTCATAATTTGTGCAGATAGCTAGCGTGAGTAACTTTTTTTTTTACTGTGTCTTTGGTTAATAACTAGTGTTCTCGTGTTATTAATATATACTCCTTCAGAAGGCAAGGGAATGGTTAGCTACATGCAGTTGAGTGGATTTGGACTGAAAAAATCCCCGTCCCTGGCTTTAGGTTGAGGGCTTGTGAGAGCTGGCTTTTCTGAATGAACATGCTTGGATTTATTAATAATTCAGTACCATATATTTCACTCATGGTCATACTCTTTCCTCGTTTTATTGTGGGTTCCCTGTTGTCTCATGACATTTACTACTGTATAAGTCAGATCAAAGCATCAAATGATTGATTGTATGTTCTGCAACAACAACTACAAAATCAACAAACCGAGTAAAATTCCACAAGTGGGGTCCGGGGAGGTTAGTGTGTTCGCAGACCTAAACCCCCTACCTTGTGAAGGTAGAGAGGCTGTTTCCGATAGACCCTCGTCTGTTTTCGATTGTCTGATCTGATTTCTTGATAAATTGTCTTGGTTGTTTTGGTTTGGCCTTGTTATGAGACTGTTTTTCTTACTCTTGATTGTAAGAGAATTTGTATTCCTAGTTGAGCTGTGCGAGATTTGTACACACTTTCTTACCCCTACCTTGTGAAGGTAGAGAGGCTGTTTCCGATAGACCCCCTGCTCTGATTGTATGTTCTGATTTCGAGATAAATGTCTGGTTGTTTTGGTTTAGCCTTGTTATGAGACTGTTTTTCTTACAATTGTAAGAGAATTTGTATTCTTAGATGAGCTGTGTGAGATTTTTTCACTTTCTTAATTCTATAATGGAATCGAAACATGCAACAATTGTTTAGGGTTTGTGATACTGTTCGGTTTACTTGTTCAATCTTAATGAGCTTATTTTCACTATGGCAGGTGGAAGGGAGAGTCTGCATGTCGAGGGAGGCTAAATTGGAATTTTTGAAGCAAAAAAGGCTTCAAAGAATGAAGACAGAATCTATGAATGATCTCAATTGTGTCAGCAACATGCTGAGTAGAAGCGGAGGAGATGCCTTAAGATCTTCTGCTTCATGTGGTGTTAGAATCCATGTTAATAGTGATTCATATCCAGGATCTGGGTCTTCTTCTTATAATGGAAAAGATGTTTTCTCAAAGCACAAGGTTGCAAAGTTTGACACCTCCAATCTGGACTGGATTGATAAAGTTCCAGAATGTCCAGTGTACTATCCAAATAAAGAGGAGTTTGAGGATCCTTTAGTTTATCTCCAGAAGTTAGCTCCTGAAGCTTCTAAATATGGTAAGGCTTCATCAGTTTTCTTTGTCTGTCAAACAAATTAAGTGATTTTGCTATGACTCTCTGCTTCAGGTTAATTCAATTGCTGTTATGCATTCTGCCTCTCTCTAGAATCTTTGGCCTTTTATTTTGGAGTTGCTCTAAAAAAAATGAAAATTCTATCCCAGCTCTTCCTGCAATTTAACGGCTGTGTAAATTATATATACGATATTGATTATTCAGGCTGTGTTCTTGTTTCTAAAGGCATTTTATCCTGTGGTAGCTTCATTGATTGATAAGGGCTGATACTATGTTTGAAATGTAATAGGTATATGCAAGATTGTTTCCCCCATAACAGCTTCTGTTCCTGCTGGAGTTGTTCTGAATAAAGAGAAGGCTGGTTTTAAATTTACTACTAGGGTACAGCCACTTCGCCTAGCCGAATGGGACACAGATGACAGGGTCACCTTTTTTATGAGTGGGAGGTTAGTTTTAATTTGTAGTTGGTAATTGCTACTATGAATTAGTTGCTTGCCTCGCTTTTGACTAGTCCGGTCTTTCAGAAACTATACATTTCGAGATTTCGAGAAAATGGCAAACAAGGTATTTGCTCGTCGATATTATAGTGCTGGATGTCTTCCTCCGACATACCTAGAAAAAGAATTTTGGCATGAGATAGCTTGTGGAAAGACTGAGAGCGTGGAATATGCCTGTGATGTTGATGGTAGTGCATTTTCCTCTTCTCCCAATGATCAACTTGGAAAAAGCAAATGGAATATGAAGGTGTGAATTCTATTAAAAAGTAATTTCTTTACTGTGCTGTCTCCCCCTTTTTTCCGTTCTGGATATAATGTCAAATTGTTGTATGAAAGAGTCAACTTGTATTGTTGTTAGGATGCATATTGATTCTTGCCATTTTTATGTCTGAAACTTCTTATGATGCTAATGCGGTTACTGTTTTATAGACAGGGAGATATTTCCTCGAAGTCCTCTTTAGGTTGCTTCTCCATTCTTATGGTCTTCCTTCTTTTCCTTCCCTTCTTGTCCCAAGACAAATAATGAATCACCTACTTCATTTCCTGCATAGTTATCCTAGACCACAACTCTCCCCGTCAACATTTAGCTGTAGTCTTAAGGTGGTCTATGTTGGCCATATTGTTTTGAAATAACCACTTATGAAATTCTAATTATGTGCTTTTATTTGTGTTTCCAGGGGCTTTCTCGGTTGCCTAAATCAGTACTGCGACTCCTTGAGAAATCGATCCCGGTACAGTAATTATCTTATCCCATCTTCTACTGAAAATATGATGAATCAGAAAATGTGTAGCAGTTTATTGATACAATTGTTATTCTCCAGGGAGTTACTGAACCTATGTTGTATATTGGAATGCTATTCAGTATGTTTGCTTGGCATGTGGAAGACCACTACTTATATAGGTATGTGTTTTTTATTTGAACCATGTTAGTCCTTGCTATTTCCGGGGCTGAACATTTTTTAATCTGTTTGTAGTATCAATTATCAGCATTGTGGGGCCGCAAAAACTTGGTATGGCATTCCAGGTCATGCAGCACTTGACTTCGAGAAGGTTGTCCGAGAGCATGTTTACACCAATGATATCTTATCAGCTGATGGAGAGGATGGAGCTTTTGATGTGCTTTTGGGGAAGACAACATTGTTTCCTCCTAACATTCTGTCAGAGCATGGTGTTCCTGTCTATAAAGCAGTTCAAAAACCGGGGGAGTTCGTAGTAACTTTTCCTAGAGCGTATCATGCAGGATTTAGTCATGGTAAGAGCCTGCCTTTGTTTACCCTGAAAACAAATGGTCTGCTTTGTTTTGAGTTTAGTGCAATGAAGCATGGGTGTGGAACTGCTTATTCACACATCCCAGACAGATGTTATCTCATCCTCCACTGATTTACGCTTGATTGTTGTTCTGTTTCTCTGAGGATGTAAAAGTTTGGACTCTCAAATCTTTTCTTTATATGTAGGTTTCAATTGTGGTGAGGCCGTTAACTTTGCAACGGGGGATTGGTTTTCTATGGGTTCAATTGCCAGCATTCGCTATGCACTCCTGAACAGGGTGCCTCTACTTCCTCACGAGGAACTTCTCTGCAAAGAAGCGATGCTTCTATGTACGAGATTTGAACTGGAAGATCCTGACTATTCCTCTGCAGACTTGATGACTCATCATAGCATCAAAGTTTCTTTTCTGAATTTGATGCGTTTTCAGCACTGTGCTCGTTGGTGCCTCGCGAGGTTAATAGCATTTTCAGGCATATCCTTATTCGCACATGGTACCATTCTTTGCAGCATATGCAAGCGTGACTGTTATGTCGCTTATCTTAATTGCAGCTGCTATGCACACGCAGTGTGCCTTCGCCATGGTATTTTTAAACTGAATGTTTTCTCTTCTTTTAATTGTCTATTATATTGGCAATGCTCGTTGTAACTGATGATTGGTCGCATGATTGTTCATCAGATCCCAGGTCACTTAATTTTCCTTGCGGCAGCAGTAGAACGCTTTGCCTAAGGGAAGATATATTGGACATGGAAACTGCAGCTAGACAGTTTGAGCAGGATAAGGTAGTTTTGCATGAAGTTCAACAGCGATATAGAAAAACTGATGACTTTTCTCTCCTTTTAAACATGTTTCCGCGAGCTGAGGAAGATGGCTATGTTCCATATTGTGAAATCAATTTTGAATGGTCGGAGGACTCGGTTGAACAGACAGTTCATGAGTCAGCACCTAATGCTTCTGCCTCACTTTTGTCTGATCTCGACTCTCCGATGGAGCCGAAAGATAACCTTTTCGCTGGTGTGAATGTAAGTGGTCTTTGGTCTGTAATTCTATATATGCCTACTTTCTTTGAGTTCTGCCTTGCAGAAAAAGAACTGCTTTATGTCTCAAGCTAATCCAGCCCCCAACTGTAAGTACAGGGAAATGCAATCTGTAACTTAGATACTGCATCAATGAAGTTCCATGGTGATGTTTCTAGTTGTCGGAGTGAAAGATCGGAGAGTTCATCAAGTGATAACAATTTTAAAGTCCATCCGAAAGTAGCTCATGAGACAGACTGTAAAACTGTTGTAGATCAAGACAGTGATGAGTCTGATACAGAAATTTTCAGGGTGAAGAGACGTCCCAGAGCAGAACATAGAAACGGATATGATTCAGTCTCTATCAACATTGAGCACCAGGTATAGCTTAATAGAGACATTAACACGTTTAAGTTTTATTAATCAGTTTGCAAAGAGGGTGAAAGGTATGTGATTAAATACTTTATTCTCTTTTCTTTGTTCCGTATCTCCACAATTGATACTTTTCTAAATGTCAGTGCAAGAACAAAGTTCTGTGAACTGATACTTGTAATTATTAGTACAAGAGCAAAGTTCTAATTATTGCTTCTGTCCTTGCATATTTGTGCCCATTGCTTGTCATCAGGACTTTCTGTTTTGTTTTCTTATCCAGTTCCAGTGGGTTATGGATTTAGTTTTAATTTCGCTACAAGGATTCATCATATTCAATTTTGTATCTATTAGATGGCTTATTGGTAGATTACAAATATGTGTTTCAGTAAGCGAGATTCATTAGGAAGTGAAACTAATTGGTTTTTTGGAAGATAGTTATTGACCACCTAATATTAACTTAGTATGCTTTCAAATATGAATTTTATTTCATTGACAAAATATAGTGTACATTCATGTCAATTTCCTTCAGCTTTGAAGTTCTTGTTTTGGGAGCGACCAATTATCAAAAATCTAAATAAGTACTTTCGGCATGTACTTTGCAGAGTTTCAAAAGATTAAAGAAACGTCAATCAGAAGGACGGCTTGGGCCATTGTCTTTTCCAGAGTGTTCTACGGCTAATGATGCAACTCACAGTTCCATTGCTAATTCAAGTCAATCCAAAGAAGCACCGGACTTTCATCCCAGAGACAAGTCCGTCAGAGGTGGTCCAGTTCCGGTATCCATTAAGTTGAAGAAGGTGGCTGTGAATGAACAAGCACTGAGCAAGCAGGACGAGTACAAGAGAGATCACAAGATCCAGTTTGAATTGGGGCAAAATATGAGGGAATCACCCAGAATACAGAGTGGATCGAAGCGTCTGAAAGTCAGAGGTCCTTCAGTTTTAGGGTTTGGAGGCAGTATGTAGTGAATAGATAGCTAACTTACAAGTAAAAGAGCATCTTGGCTTGCTTGCCTCTGGAGTGGCTTATAGAACCTGACTTTGCTAACACTTATTCTCTAATGGAGAGCTAACAACACGATAAAAAAGCTAAGCATTTTGGAGGCAGCAGCAGTGCAACTTTTAACCCAATCTTTAGTTTAAAGAGGTATATTCTTTGTGCAGGCCTCTAAAGTGGGGCAAGTAGCACACTGGTGATTCTTATGGCTCTCGAGCCGGGGTGTTTTTCTGTCTTTGGCTGGAGAACCTCTCTCCTTCCATTCCACTTCCAGATTGTAGATTTCGGGTTATTAGTGAATTCTCTCATGTACATTTTATTTTTGACAAATTGATCAATTCTTACGAGGTGCAAATGGGTATTTCCACAAGCCCTCTGATTTAATGTGAGGTCTGTTGCCTTCCTAGTTAGGGTTCATTATTCTTTCTGTAGCTGCGGGTCATTTTGGCTCGAGACTACATGAATAAATACATAGAATTTTTTCCCTTGCTGTCTTTTTTCCTTTCTCATAGTGTTCTACATTTTAGTAATTTCATAATCTCCTTTGATGATAAAGATTTTTTTATTTCATATTTACCAATCAAGTGCTATCTGTAACAGTTGCATATTTTAGGTCTTCGCCTTGTTGATGTTTTATATATTTGGACTCCCGACTTTCTTTATCCTTTTTTTTTGTTCATATTGTATATATTGTGGAGTTGGAAAGACGTAATAGCGGCTGATCTTTTGGAATGGGCTGTCTTCTTGAGGGCTTCCCGATTACTGAAACAGGAAACTATGGGACTTCACTTGCTTGTCCCAAATAAGTGGTATTACCGTAAAAAGGATGTGAAAATGGCGTGCAGTAGCCACTAAATAAGGGTGTATTTAACTTTTATCCACTATTTAAAATGCTTATAAAAAATAGCCACTACTAAGGGGGAAAAGACACAATTACCCTTTCTCTATTTCTTGTATAATCCCAAAATCGACGAAAACCCTTATTTCATTCGTTCAGAGTTCTGCGCTTCTTCATCTTCCTCGTATGCAAACTGCAATCTCAGTTAAACTTCTGCTCCTTCATCTTCTCCGTCATCTTCTGTCAATCGCGACTGGTAATATATATATATTTTTTATGCATTTTCGTTTTTCTTTATTTGTAAGTTGGTTCAATGCCGTGTGAAGTATGTGTGAAATTTCAAAAATTAGCATTATATGTTGATTCAGTGTAGTATATTTTGTGTGATTCTGTTTTTGATAAATTTTTAGTGTGTGAAATTTGAAATGTGTTTGTGGTTGATTCAATATATTTGATTATGTAGGTATATTTCATAAAAATAGTCGTAGAAATTCATAAGCTTACTGATTATGAATTTTCAGTTAACTGTGTTCATTAAATGTAAGGAAGAAACGACATTAAGTTTTGTAGTTGGAATTCAAAGTTAAGGACTGATTGTCCTTAACTTTTGCACATGAAACTTGAAGTTAAGGACAAAGTGTCCTTAACTTTGGATGTTGAAAGTATAAGTTAAGGACTGTATTTCCTTAACCTTTGCACTTAAAATTTAAAGTTAAGGATTGTATTTGCTTAACTTTTAACTTGAAATTTTAAGTTAAGTCCTAATCTTTGTTTGTTTTTCCTTCTTTTCTAGTGTTATAATGGAAGGCGATCATTTTTTTTGATTTTGACGATTGGCGTAATTTTCTGGTATATTGGAAAGGAGATTTTCAATATAAGGAAACAATTAAAAGTTTTCTGTCGAATAGCCAATGGAAGAAATTGAGGGAAAGTATTTTTGGCAACTTCTTTAGATTACAAAGTGTGAAGTTCTCGGGTAAACTTATGCACTGTGTATTGCTTTCTGAAATTGTTAGTAATGAACCTGATTTGATGACCTTCAAGGTATTTGACTGCGATATTAAGTTTACTCGTGATGCATTCCATATTATTACTGGTTTGAAGTCTTATTCGTCGCTTGACATGAAAGGTTTAAATGAGAAAGAGAATAGGCTTTTAAGAGTCTATTTCCCTGGAAAGGACAAAATTGAGTTGGCTGATTTGTATAGTTTTATTTCTAGTCGCCCACATGGTACAACTTCATCATTTGCTGGCAGTGATGATGATGCTTTGAAGTTGGCAACACTCTATTTTGTTGAGTCGGTTTTGATGGGCAAGAGGAAAAATAGGAATTTGTCGGAGCAAATAATGAAAATTGTTGACGATGATGCACTTTGCGCTTCCTTCAACTAGGGCTCTCTTGCTTATGAGACGCTATTAAAATCATTGAAGAGTTGCTTGAAATCAAATGAGAATNGTGTCGTGCTACTGAGCGTACTGGCATATTCAACCAAGATGCAGGTGGTGTTGAACGTAATGATATGGATGTGCATGCAGAGGGTCAGTATGAAAGAGAATTTAGAGATGCACATCTAGATGATGAAATTGAAAATATTACTGATATTGGGAAAGGTTAGATATAGATTTTGATTTTTATTTTCGTTGAAATGTATATTCAATAGATTAATACATATAAACTATGCATGTGCATGCAGAAGTTTGTGGAGTGCCGGAGAAAATTTGTAGAGCTTGTGGATTGTAATCACAGGAGGATTTAACAAGTCCATTGGGGACAAGTGTCAGCGAGATTGTATGCAAATGCT